TGGTTGCCCAGTAGTGAGAGTGCCCTGACTTGTGCATTGTAAAATGTTAAACAGTCGATTCCACGTCCTCGGTCTTTTACTTCCCGAAAAATCAACCAGCAAGTGGCGACACTGCACCCTTTCTTGATCCCAGCCTGGGGTCAGAATTCTGGCCAGGTCCTCTGCTCAGGAATCAGGGGCTGACCCCAAATGTCACCAGTCTGCTCTCTCTGGGTGCTCAGGACCCCTCTTGACTCATTCAGTGGTCAGCAGAATGTGGATGCTGGATGGAGGTCCCCTTCCTGCCTGCACTCCTGTGCTGGGGGTCACTCTTGGGCCTCTCCTGGGCCCGTCCCTCCAGGAGCCAGCTGTGGTACATGAGATCTCTGGCCTCCTCTTCTCTACCCGGCAGAGGAAGTACTGCTTGTCAAGCACCCGTGTGTCGGGAGGCCTGTCCAGGCCTCCTTCCTGCTTGTTCTAAGGTCAGCTCATGAGTGACCCTAACCCACCTTCCCAGTCCCTCTGACCTGAATGTAACGACCGAGGTGCAGCACTGACCGCAGGACTCTGTTCCCACGTGCCCTGTTGTCCCTTCCACCAAGCCATGTCCACGGCAGGTTTCTGAGAAGTGCCACTGGTCACCTGGGCTCCCGTTGGGACACAGGCACTGGCTCAGGTTTGGGTGAGGCCCGCGCAGGGCAGCCTGCTCCAGAACTGGGAGGCGGGGATCCCTGATGTGCTTCAGGGTGCCAACGGCCCTGGCCACGAGGCCCACAGTGAGGGGTGGGGTCTGGGGAAGCGCGGTAGGGTGCGCCTGGTCCCCTGCCAGCCCCGTGGCAGCTTTTCAATACTGGCTTTCAGACTTCTCTGCCAGGGGCTTGACCTAACTGCCTTCGCGCTACACAGACGGAGCCCTGGGGGCCGAGTGGCTGCGGCTGGGAAGGCCCAGGGTGGTGTCCAGGGTCCAGCAAGGGAGGCGAGAAGGGAGGGGCTGCCAAGGAGGGACACAGATGGCCTTGGCCCGTCTCCCTGGGTGGGCCCACTGCTCCTGGCCTGGGCTCAGACAGGCTCCTGCTGCCTCTCACGCTTGACATTTGCTGGTGACATGTAGGAGGGGCTGCGGGCAGGGTCCCCACCCTCCCTGCAGATGATGGTGTCTGGTTATACAGCCATTTCCTTGGGAAAGAAAGTGACCCGGGGGATTCCTTTTTACTTACACCATCTTGCCAAACTTCAACATCCTGACTTTAAAGCACCGCTTGAAGCTCAGTGCCGAGGTTGACCTTGGCCTGCCCCACGGGCTTGTCCTGGAGAAGCAGAGGGGTCCGGCTCTGCTGACCTCTGCTGTGAGTCCGCTGACTTGCGACTGGTCTTTCCTCAGCCCTCGCCAGGCCCCCGGCCGCCCCTTGCCGCTCTGTTCTTGGGCCCTGGTCTTGAGTCACCTCCTGTTTTCCTGGGTAGTTAATGTTGAGTTGTCTCCTCAGGAAGGGACGGTCCCTTGGGCAGCTTCTGAGCCACTGTGTAGCCGAGAATGTCTTTCTATTGCCTGGACACACACCACAGTGACCCACCGTGACCCAGCAGGAAGCAGAAGTCTAGTGTGCAGGGGTGGGGGGCTGTGGCCTGTAACGGGGGAGCCCCTGGGCCCTCGAGTCCCCTGGGCACTGGTCTGAGGCCCCCACTGGAGGGGCGAGCGGTACCGGGCTGGTTCTCCTCACCTTGGCTGAGACCCAGGGAGCCCATGTCCACTGAGGTTTCCTCCGTGGCCTGAGTGTGGGTGGGCTCGCTTCCGAGTGCTCCTGTCTCCCTACTGGAGTCCACCGTCTACCCTGCACTGTCCTCTCCTGCCAGGGCAGGGGCGCTGGGCGTGGCCATGGGGTGCCGTCAGGAGCCGGGTCTCTTAGGCTCATGGACAACGAGCAGCCATTTCCT